ATAAAAAAGTTAAACATCAATACACATGAATAATCTTTCCTGACTGTTTTATACATCCTATGATGTAGGTCAACGCCTTTCGCAGATACCCCTGCTTCTTCAGGACCCAAAGATCCCTAATCGGGATTAGGAGTGTGGCTACAGTGTGCGGGCAGCCATCGGAGCTTTACATACTCAAGTCCCAAGTTCTTTATACTTTTTTTCCCCATTTGTGCTGTGCATGTGGTCAGGAGGAGATGTTTTTATGTTGACTTAAGGTGAGGCGAGATAACCCCTCATGTATATACTTTTGAATTTTGGCAGGCTTGCTTATGTATATTGGTGGGGATAGTAACTTGTATTCTACCATCAATTTATAGTTTTCACTCTTGAGTTTTCCTAGATATTTCTGTGTGGAATTTATACATGCTGGTTGGAAATCATTTTCCATAGCAGATGTCTCAGCCAACACTACTCTATTATAAGCACTGATACACTTACTGGCGCATGATTGTCATTTCTCTTTTTGCTTGACTTTCCTCACAACATTATATATGGTTGTAACTCACTGTGATCACCAGTTGGTATCATTAACTGTGTGCCCATATTTTAAAGGGTTTTCCTACTGTGTTGACAGCTTATATGCATTATATCATAATTATTTTAATGACTTATATTTATGGGTTATATTTTAGGAGGTTTCTTTTTTCTGGGATTTATGTATACTTGGAGTGATCGCCCTTGGGCCAGCAAGCACAAGGAGTTAATATAATTTGTGTTTGGGACACTGTCTGCTTGATAGGGGTAAGAGAATTTTTTAGAATTCATTTTTCCTTGATTAAATTAAAATTATAAAAAAAAAATTCTTTTCTTCTCTGACTGTTTTTTCTTATATTATACATATTAGGTACTTGTGCATATATTTGTATTTGATATGTTTCATTTATAGTTCTTTTCGTCTTACAAAATATTGTTTTATATAATATGTACAACTGTGTGTCCTCTTTGGGTCCTGAAGAAGCAGGAGTACCCATGAAAGGCTTATACCTACATCATAGGACACATAACACATTCAGGAAAGATTATTCATGTGTATTGAATTATAACCTTTGTATGTATAATGAAATAACATTTTGTAATTTTATACATATATATAGGTGCTACATATCTATTTGTGAACCCCAGAGGTATTTTTAAAGTCCCTTTATTATATACCCAAACATTTTTAACTAATGCAATAGTTTGGCAGCAAAAGGTTTAAAAGTAGATGTATCCTGCAAAACATGGCTGGATCCACACAAAAACAGACAGACAAAACCACTAGGCACTTAAGGGGAAGGAAAAAACTTATTGGGGTGCTTCCAACCTCCAGAGTTGGAAAAGCAGGTTGCATAGCGATAGTCTTTCTGCCTTTAGGAGTCTTACACAGCCCAAGACTTGAAACAGCACTGGTAAAAGCAACAGGTTAATCTTCTAGTTTCAGAGGTGTGCACTGCATTAGGGAGAAATAGCAGTAGACTTTGACGTCTCAAAGGAAAGCTCATCAGTCAAGGATCTCAGCAGCTCAGAATCAGTCTATATAGATCAAAAGCTGCTAAAGTCTACATGTATATCATACACAGCATCTGCTGGAGGGGTCGCGGGACACATCTGTAGCCTCTGATCACAGTCAGCAAAAAAAAAAAAAAAGGTAATTTTTGTGTCAAAGTTTTGCAGGATGAACCTCAGCCAAAAAGGCAAAGGACTTAGCCAAATCCAACAAAGCCAAAAGAGGTAAGAGTCTAAAGTAGTAGAGAACAACATGACTCTGGGCTTAACATATGCACAACACATCAGTAGGCATATTGTAAGCAGCCCCCAACCCATTAGTAGTAAGTGAGCTGTGGGAAATTAGAACAGCAGGACAGTCCCCTTCACATCTAGAATCAGACACGTTGTGGCCACAGTGCGTTCAGACTGTACTCACAAAACCCAAACAGCTGGTAGCAGATGAGAGTTGGTGGCTGGAGGGTTGGATAGCCAAGAGGTGATCAAAGTCACTGTAGGCAGGCATTAGGAACAGATTGAAGATATAAGTTCTAGTTCTCTCTCTCTGCAAGCATGAAGATGCTTCCTTGGCACTATACAGTCATGGTCAAAAATACTGGCACCTCTGCATTCCTGTCAGATAAAGCAGCACTTTGCCCAGAAAATTGTTGCAATTACAAATGTTTAGGCATTCGTATGTTTAATTTATTTTGTTTGTATTGATATGACACTTGGTATCTTCTCAAAATAGTAAGAAATAATTGCATTCCAACTGTAAGATGTTCCTTTAATTTGTAATTAAACTCACCTGTATCAATTAACAAATGACACAGACAACCAGTTAAAATGGTGAAAAATTGACTCAACATTTCTGTCTTGTCAAGATGTTTACAGCCCAAGAACCTCAATCAACTTCCAAATTCAAGCTGACCTTCAGGCACAGGGTACAACTGTCAGCTCGCACTATACGTTGCCATCTGAATGAAAAGGGCCACTATAGTAAGAGACCCTGGGAGGACCCCACTTCTGGCACAGAAACATAAAAAAGCCAGACTGGAGTTTGCCTAAATGAAGAAGCCAAAATACTTTTGGGAGAATGTGCTGTGAGCAGACAAAACTAAAAATTGCAGCTTTTTGGTAAAGCCCATTTTTTCTACTGTTTTCAGAAAAAGAAATGAGGCCTTTAAAAGAAAAGAATACAGTTCCCACAGTCAAACATGGTGGAGTTTCACTGATGTTTTGTGGTTGCTTTGCTGCTTTAGGCACTGGATGTCTTGACCATGTGCATGGCATTATGAAATCTGAAGACTACCAAAAGAATTCTGGGGTGGAATGTAGGGCCCAGTGTCAGAAAGTTGGGTCTCCGTCAGAGGTCAGCCTTATAGCAGGTCCTTACAGCAGGCCAATGACCCAAAGCACATGTCAAAAAGCACCCAGAAATGGTTTTAGCCAAAGTGCTGGAGAGTGCTGAACTGGCCAGCAATGAGTCCAGATCTCAATCCCATACAGCACCTGTGGAGAGATCTCAAAACAGCAGTTGGGAAAAGGAACCTTTCCAATCTGAGAGACCTGGAGCAGTTGGCGAAAGAAGAGAGGTTCAAATTCCAGTAGAGAGGTGTACTAAACTCATTGATGGTTACAGGAAGCAATTCATTTCAGTTATTTTTTCCAAGGGGTGTGCTACCAAATATTAATTGTGGGTGCCAATAATTTTGTCCAGTCCATTTTTGGGAGTTTGCATGAAATGTGTCAGATTTGGCTTTTTGTTTCTCCTTTTTTTTGTGTCATACCAATAGAAACAAAAGAAATGAACATGACCATGCCTGAACATTTGTAATTGCAACAATTTTCGGGGCGAAGTGGTGCATTATCTGACAGGGGTGCCAATATTTTTGGCCATGACTGTATGAATACTAGCAAAAAAGAACAAAACAGGGTGCACTATCCTCGTGCATTACTGTGATAATATGAAAATGTATTAGAAAAATACAAATGCATACTCACAAGCCAAAAGTCATAAAAACAGAGACAAGGAGTCAAAGGATGCCAGTCGTGGACAACATAGGTCCTCGGGTAAAGTGCTAACGCGTTTTGGGAGTCGAACTCCCTTCCTCAGAACAATAGATGAAAACACAATGCATAAGAAATATTCATATAAATAAAAGACAAAATGGCAGTGAGTCCCCAGTCACTCCCCCTCTGTGCAAAAAAAGGGGGGTGGGATCCTGCAAGTAACTCCCAAAAAGGGGGAGAGATTCCCAAAACATTTAGTAAGTAGCTTCTCCAAGTGAGAGACTTTGACTATAGTGTGGCAATCAATAAGCATGAAAATAGCAATAGCAATGAAAATGGCAACAAATGGCAATTATCAGATGGACGGATCTAAAAACGCATGAGAAATGTATTATGAATGAGCAAAAATGTGACCAAGTCTGTGCATATAAATTGCACAAAGAACGATCTGCTCCTTTAAATGGCAACTACTGTATGCACAATGTACAATGACTATGTATGATCGTGTACAATATTTCACCCAGCAGATAACCCTAGGACCCTCTGTCCCACAGCATTAACTCCTTCTGCAGCGAAGTCAGTGGTAAACAGGGAATGAAGACACCCAGAGACCCGGTGCTTGTTTCGACCAGTTTATTTCCTAGGTATGTCTTTAGAGACAAGACAAGCACATCTGCAATGTTGATGGCTCAGGACCTCAAAAATGCTCTACAATTACTTAAACCATAATGCAGTCTGGATAGCATCTTACATAGAACGCTGTGTGGAAAAGTAACTTCCAGTTTCACCCTGCAACATCCAATCCAGGAGTGTCTGGATGCCGGACAGTCCAAAAGTTAGGTGGATTACTGAAAATCAGAGGGGAAACCTACAGAAGTGTAGTCTTGATTGAAGAAACAAATGCTAGTAAAAGACAGGTTAGTCTTGCCAGTAGTAAGAGGATATATACCTTGATTTGACCTACAGTTTTTTGCCAGTGTCCAATGCACCTATACTGTAGGTGTAAGTATAACCCAAAGGTGTAAGACTTACTGTGTCCTTCAAAGAAGTAGAATGAAAAACAATTTGTTTATGAAAAAACTGTATACAGTTGATAATGTCAAATGTAATGAAAAAAAAAATTTTGGGGTTTACATACACTTTAAACTTCTCATTTGTTAGGTGGCTTAGCAACATTTTAGAATACTTCTGTGTACACTTTTTTGTTTTTCATCTTTTTAAGTAAAGCGTGGGAGACCTTAGGAATGACAGTATAAAACTATAGCTTCACCATTATCACACAGCTGTATTCTATGGTGCCAAATAAACCTCATTCTTCATGGAGAATGCTTGCACATAGCCAAATATACTGTACATTCGTACAAAAACAAAACAAATATATACATGCAATAAACATACAATACCCCCAGTTGTATTCTGAGGAGGCATTAATGGATACACAATTTTTTGTGAGATATTTCAGAATTGTAAACAGAGCTTACCTGCTCAACATCAGTGTTACGTGGCACAAAATAGATAATGTTTTTTGTTATCTGCTGGGAAAGCTGGAAGACTTCAAAGGTAGCAGAGTGTTAAGGAACGTAAGAACAGTTTACAGGGTCTAAAATACAAGTTCTTGCTAGTCTATCATATGGAATTGCAAAAACACATTACAGCGGGCACAAATAATAAGCACCAAAAATTGTTACTGGATTGTACTGTAGTGAAGATGAAACTATCACATGTAAAACAAGCTCATAAAGCTGAAGTTCAGACTAAGGCTACGTTCACACTAGCGTTGTGTGCAGGAGGCAGAGAGGCGTTTGGGAAGCGTTTTTACCTCTGACAATTCTGCACATTGCAGCACATGGTGCTGTTCTAAGGGGGGATGTTAGCGTCGCGTCAAAACGGATGCCTCTGGTCGAGTCAGGAGGCGTTGAAGCCTCCAATTCTAGTCTATGGTGCCACTTCGCAATAGCCCGGCCGGCATTTGTGGCGCGGTTGCAGGGTGTTTGCGGAGCGGTAACACCAATTAAAATTGGCTATAGGGGCGTTTGGCAAGCGTTGGTAAAAACAGTCAAGTGTGAACTTAAATGTTGCTGGAGAGAAGTTTGGCAGTTGTACTGAATAATCTGCTACAACTATAAAATTCATCTTACTTCAAAAATAATCCATATATCCAAATTTTATATGTCTTCCAGTATTTTTTTTTAGGTTTGTACATTTTTAAATTTTTATATTTTTGTCTTTACAATGCGGCCTTGGACAGAGCGACCTAATGTATGTGTTTTGTAGCACCCCAAAATTTTAACTACCTTGCTGAATCCATGGAGAGAAAAACACTGGTTGCTCTGAAAGAAAAAAAAAAAAAAAAAAGGAGGCCTTATCTAGGTACTAGATAGAGGTATCTAATATAGTGGTCATGGAGTACGAAAGTATATGTATTTATATATAGAATACACCAGAGATATTTTACATTACATAAAGACATTCTGTAAAGGATATCCATCAAGATTCATCATGGTCTTGATGTCAAAAATATCAGCGCTGACATAGTCAGGACCTCCCCATGGTGGGCTGAGGAAAACAGCATCTGCCTTCAAGTCAGGAGCAACACACATGTAATCTGCACGGATGAACTCTATCTGATTTTCCACTCCATACACCTTGGCGTTGTTGTAAGCTAGATCCAATTTTACAGGGTCAATATCTATAGCAATGACTAGAAAAAAAAAGCAAAAGAATGTTATAGTGATAATATAAACAGCATGATAACTGCACATGCACCTGTTAGTATTACAGAAGATGTTTAGAAGTGCAATGTGCCATTTACAGGCACAGGCTGAAATAGTATGGAGGTTTGAAAATAATCGTGCATTTGTGCTACCAGTGTTATAATCTGGCTATTCTTAACAATCTCTATAAAAAGCCTCCTATGCACACAGGTGCTGCATGATGTAAAATTTGAGTGCATTTGCCACAGGCCATACGTGCAGCCTACCATAGAAACCAATTTCTGTATGTGAGTATATGCTGAATTTTATGTCATATGGCCCAGACACTCATGTGCAGAGGCTGTCATACCACTGAAAGAACAGAAAGATACCCATTGATCTGGCCAGATATCCAATGTCCTAACTTCCTGTACACTCTGCTTGTGCAGCGCTTAAATACCAACCACTGTAATTGGTTCTGCTTAGTTCACTTCTGTGGGCTACAGTACACTTCATATTAGGATGAGAAGAGGGGGGAGGTGTTATCTAGTCCTAACACACTTCCTGTCCTAGGGAGACAATACTGTAATTGGCTCTCCTCAGTTCACTTCTGTGGACTACAGTACACTTCCTATAATGATGGGAAAGGGGGGGGGGGGTTATCTAGTCCTAACACACTTCCTGTTCTATGGAGACAATACTTCTCCATATATACAGTGCAAAGAGTGAGGGTGGTTATTGTAGGGCAGGAAGTGTGTTAGAACTAGACAACATCTTCCCCACGTCTTATTTTCATAACATGGGATTGGGAAAGTGTCTTATTTGCAGGATCAAAGAAAACATACCCAAAACATAGGACTGGAAAGCTACAATGTATTACTTTTTATTTAGATACACTGTAATTTTGTCAAGACTTACACGCAGAACCACAAGTGGGTTGAGTTGTAAAATGTCTGTTTTAATTAATTTTTATTAGACATTTGCATAGCAACAGGGTGCATATAAGTGCATAGTAAAATGTCCAGAAGCAGCTAACCAATTGCTTTACTATTGATGGTGAAGACATAAAACACGTCACACTACTGCTGGTAACATCATTGTGTCCAATCTCCTAAAACCACTTCTTCCCATTATCCTTTTTGACCTTGACAGGGAACTTCTTCCCTTTTTCGGCAGACCTCGACAAACACCAGGTCCAGCTCTGAGTTGAACAGAAGAAAAAAAAAAAAAAAAAAAAAAAAGGGCAAAAATCGCAGAGACAAGCTATTGATGTCTGATCACCCTCCTAGGTTTTAACCCACATTTGAGTTGAGAAGTGCAGCAGTCTTAGCCGATGTTCTGACCATCTCCATCGCAGCATCCGCTAGGTAGGCTACTGCCTTACCAACTACCTCCAGGGAATCCACCACCTTCTCACTGGACTTCCCCTTTTTTCTCTTGGTATGCTGTGAGACATGGTCAAATACTCTATGCATCCAAGCATTAGTATTCCTAGCGATGAAGGCGGATGCTAGGGCCATAGTAGAGGCATTGGCATCCCAGGCTCTGCACAACAGCGTCTCGGACCTACGGTTCATTGATCTCTGAGGTTACCTGAATCCTTAAAAGGACAGGTCAGACTTTTTTACATACGAAGTCTAGCTTGGGAGTTTTGAGGAATTTCTCTTCCTCTTCTTCCCCCAAATGAGTATCGCCTCTTCCAGGTTTTCAATTTTAAGACCTCTCTCTCGGGATCCTTCTACTCTCTTAAGACAATATCTTTGAGAGTTTGGTGCATGGGCCTGCAGTCTCATCAACCCCCTATACATCTTGTCCTGGGCGGAGACCTGCGTTGGTGGTTCTGGGATGTCCTCAGGCATAAATAGTCCTTCGGAGCCCTTCCATATCTTCCACGGCAAAAAGTTGTCTGCCAGGCCTAGATTCCTTGCTAGTCTGACTAGCACCTTCCAAATCTTACCCCGTTCTAAGGAACACCTGGTCCAAAAAAATAACTAAAGAGGGGTTCAGATATTGACAGTGCCTGGATCTCACTTATCCTTAGGGCTGAAGTGATTGCAACCAAGAAAATGGGTGGACATAAGCTTGCCTGACAGCTCCTTTCTTCTTAGATCTTCTTTAAGAACCATGCTGTTAATTTGAACCACTCCACCTCCGGGTGCAATACCGGTCCCCTGAACTAGCAAATCCTTCCTGTCCAGCAGTCTCCAGGGGGGTCTAGAGGATAGATTCTATAGCGTCGAGAACTACAACCGTTTTTGGCTAGTATGGCGTGATTAGGATTAGATTTGTCGCTTCTTGCTTGAACTTTCGAAGCACCAGAGGAATGAGCTGAAAAGGGAGGGAACGCGTAGGAAAAGAGGTAATTCCATGGATGAGCCAACGCGTCCAAGCCCACCGCCTGATCTTCCCTGTGCAGGGAAAAGAACACTGGTGACTTTGCAATTAGGTGACTTGCAAACAGGTCAACCTGAGGAACTCCCCAAGTTTCCGTGAGTAAATAACGTCCTGATTCAGGCGCTACTCGGACTCTGTTACCTTTCTCCTGCTTGGAAAGTCCGCCAGCTGATTCTGCGAGTCCTTTAAGTGAACGACCGAGAGGGAGGCCAAATTCTGTTCCGCCCAAGACAGGATCTCTAGTGCCAACTCCAGCAGCCCCCTGCTCTCTGTGCCCCCCCCCCCCCCCCCCCATCTTGAAATATAAGTCACCGCTGTTCTGTTGTCTGAGAGGACCTTTATGTGCTGCACCCTTAATGACTGCTGAAAAAAAAGAAGATACCCAGTTAAGATGGCCTTTAACTCCATCCAGTTTGAGAACTTTCTGGCCTCTGCTTTGGAATAAGAACCCTGTGTCATCTGACCTTTGATGTGGGCTCCCCACCCCCACGCACATGCATCCGTCGTCAAGTGTTTGGACAGGGGAAAGGACCATGGCAGACCCCTCAACAGGTTGGTCGGATCCCGCCATCACCAAAGTGCTCTTTTCACATTTGAAGCAATCTTTATAGGTCTGTCCAAAGGATCCTGGTATGCGCAATTTTTGAAGAATGTCCCATTGGACAAGACGGGAATGAAACCTGGCTCACTGGACTGCCGGAATGGAGGCGGTAAGCAGCCCCAGAGCTGACATAGCCACCCAGACTGACAGGGTCAGATTGGACTGAATCAGACTCAGAGCCGACTGAATTCTCTCTCTCCTCCAGGAGAAAGATCATCTGTTGAACAGAGTCTATTGTAAATCCCACAAATCTTATGCTCTGGGTTGGGATAAAGTTGGATTTCTCCAGGTTCAAAAGCCATCCCACATTTTTCAGAGGAGTCTGAGTTACCGGACGATTTGACAGCACCTGAGCTCATGTTTCTGCGAACGGGAGCAGGTGGTCTAAACATGGCACAACCAAAATCCCCCTTAGCCTCAGCAGCTCTAGAGATTCTGCCATCACCTTGCTGAACAACCCTGGGGAAGATGACAGGCCAAATGGTAATGCCTTGAATTGTAGGTGCCAGATGGACATTTGTAGATTGACAGCCAGGCGGAGGAATTTTTCAGAAGATTGAGAATCAGAATGTGTAGATAAGCATCTCAAAGACTGATGTTCGCCAAGAAGCACCCCGGGGAGATAGATATAGATATATAAAGTTGTGTTCAAAATAATAGCAGTGTGTTGAAAAAAGCTCAAAATTCTTCTAATAGCTTTTATTTCCATACACACAAATGCATTGGGAACACTATATATTCTATTCCAAATCAAAACATGAAGAAAAATATATCAAATTTGTGTTGTTCCTCTAAAGAAATTGAAGAAAAGTGAATATTAGACTGTAAAGAAGAATACAAACACTGCTATATTTTTTAACAAACTCAAACATTCACTATATAAACTGAAAAATGTTTGAAGATTTTGCTTTCCTTTGAATCACTTAATATTTAATTGTATAACCACAGTTTCTGAGAACTGCTCTACATCTGCGGTGCATGGAGTCAACCAACTTCTGGTATTCCAGCCCAGGAAGATTGGACTACATTCTACAGTTCTTCTCTATTTCTTGGTTTTGCCTCAGAAACTGCATTTTTGATGTCACCCCACAAGTTTTCTATTGGATTAAGATCCGGGGATTGGGCTGGCCACTCCATAACGTCAATCTTGTTGGTCTGGTACCAAGATGTTGCACGTTTACTGGTGTGTTTGGGGTCGTTGTCTTGTTGGAACACCCATTTCAAGGGCATTTTCTCTTCAGCATAAGGCAGCATGACCTCTTCAAGTATTCTGATGTATTCAAACTGATCCATGATCCCTGGTATGCGATAAATAGGCCCAACACCGTAGTATGAGAAACATCCCCATATCAGGATGATTGCGCAACCATGCTTCACTGTCTTCACAGTGTACTGTGGCTTGAATTCAGTGTTTGGGGGGGTCGTCTGACAAACTGTCTCTGGCCACTAGACCCAAAAAACACAATCTTACTTTCATCAGTCCACAAAATGTTGTGCCATTTCTCTTTAGGCCAGTCAATGTGCTCTTTGGCAAATTGTAACCTCTTCAGCACATCTTTTTTTCAACAGTGGGACTTTGCGGGGGCTTCTTGCAGATAGCTTGGCTTCACATAGGCGTCTTCTAATTGTAACAGTACTCACAGGTAACTTTAGACTTTCTTTGATCTTCCTGGAGCTGATTGTTGGCTGAGTCCTTGCCATTTTGGCTATTCTTCTATCCATTTGAATGGTAGTTTTTCGCTTTCTTCCACATCTTTCAAGTTTTGGTTGCCATTTTAAAGCATTTGCGATCATTTTAGCTGAGCAGCCTATCATTTTCTGCACTTCTTTATATGTTTTCCCCTCTACAATCAACTTTTTAATCAAGGTACGCTGTTCTTCTGAACAATGTCTGGAACGACCCATTTTCCTCAGAATTTCAGAGAGAAATGCACTGTAACCAGCACGTACAACATTTGCTCCTTCCTTAAATAAAGGCAATAATTTCTACCTGTGTTTCAAAGAATGACTGAC